TGCTCATGAACAGGAGACTTTTGCATTGGAAGTCGACGCACGAGACTCTACTCCTATCAGAGGAGCACGGTTTGATTCGTGACGACTTTTTTATTGGAAATAACTCGAGATAGATTTGTCGAGATGTGTAGGGAATAAACAGTTGGAAAATAGTTTATTAATCTTTCGCTACGTTCATTCTATACGAGGAATCAGAGATGATTCGATGATTCAAATTGTTTAAACAAATTATTCCGTGCTAGACTGTAGATATTTATGCAATTCTAACATATTAGAGATTAATTTTTTAAATTATAATCTGATAGAGTAATTAATAGGATACAAGAATAAAGCATCATATTCATGGATACATGACAGTGTTTATTAAATTCTCAATACAACATATACAGAGTTGAATCGTTTGAAAGCGTGTCGGTTGTAAATCAAGGATGAGTCAAAGTCGTGTTTACAAACGACGCGGAGCCGAGTAGTTTGCTCCCGGCCACGGTCGAGTTCGGTTCTCGCAGTCAAAACTCCCGTGTTCAGCCCGTGTGTTTTAATTAGTCAGTGTTCTTTGTTAATAACTTAAAAATAAGTGTTGTGGTAAAGAAGAAAGTTGTTCACAATCATCCCAGCTGCCACTCCCTCAAAGGATATTTACTTCTAGCCGCGAACACTCTCTATAATCATGTGAGTTTTTAAAAACCATGTTTTATTCAATTAATATTGTTTATCATACAATTATATATAATTGTTAGCAATTTATTAATAACAATTATGATTGTTACAAACGATATAGTAAAAGAAAGCAGCTAGAATGAAGCAAAAAGTCTATTAAAAATAGTGTTTCTTTGTTTGCGTGTAGAACAAAATCTCGTTATTGTAGAATATTGTTGTTGACGTCATTAGAAGCGTGCATTCTTCCTCTTTAATACGCATTTTGTTTCATTTTGCTATGACTTTCGGTTCCCGAGTTATCGCAGTTTAAAGCAAAGCATAATTTTACTCGGACCTCTCACTCTCTCGCTTGTAACTTTCACTCGCACTTCATTCACTGACCTACCCCAAGTCACGTGCTGGTCAAGCGACGACGCTGAGTCAGATGTTTTTTACTACGATTACTACGCGCGTACGCACTTCCAGGGAAAAAAGTAGGTCACGATAATTTCCAGGAATCTCAATAGTCATTCATGCGTTCGGGTGGGTTTTAAGCGCCGGGCTTTGTAGGCTTATATCTTGGGAACCAATTGAGATATTGACTTACTTTAAAATGCATATTCAAGAGCACACTTCCCCCTATATTCTGAACGTTATAATCATAAATTTTCGTTGGGGTCAATGGTGGCCGGTAGCTAAAAAATAAGATAATGGAGTAACTTAGGAATGAAATGACATGAAAAATAGTTTCGTGGCGTTAATATTATACTAAAAATGAAATGTAACAAATTGAAAAGTGGATTTTTTAAATTATTTATTATTATCGTTTAATAATACAAATTTGAAAACTATCCAAAGCGGGTGGGAGTGGAACTAAATAAATGGGATTTTTGACACATTCTAACGTGTTATAAAGCTAACGAACGCGATATCGCGTGATCGGATTATTTGTGACTAACGGAATCAAAATTTATGGCAATGTTTTTCTCTATTTTATTATTAACAAATCATTATTTTTACTCGAAAATTTTTAAACATTTTCTAAGAGGTACTAAAATGTAGTTATTAGTTTAATGATGTTATTTTATTGAGTATGGAAGATTTCTGCGTTTAAACTTGTACTTCTCAATTTTCAAACTCGTTAGTCTTTTAACTGGAATCCTTCTTAACATGATAATTTATGGTCGGAATTAATCGAAATGTCCGCAATCCTTGAAAGGAGAAGACCATTTCCTAAAGGACGGCTAGAAAGAAAATGTAGAAATGAAATGGGTGTTATAGGGATTACCGAGATTGCGGGTCGAAAGGATTATTCAGATTACCTTGGTGAAATATTCGGAACGAAAGACTCGCATCCCAACCGCGGCTCAAATTTATGCACCTAACAATTAACCTAAGCTTCGCGTGCACCGTTGAGACTGACACGTCAAATGGATTACTTTGCGATAAGTCTTGAAGATGTACGACCCTCTTATCGTGTCGTCGGATAATCGGATTTTCTAAAAATTTGATCCGATTAAAATTTGTACCGTTCGAAAATTTATAAAATCAAACGAAATAAATTACGAAGAACGAATGAAGTTAAAAAAAATGAAAATCTCATTGAATTATAATATTCGTGAAATAAGAGTAGTACAATTATCCTTTCAAATAATTATTCACGTTTAGAAGTTTGCAAATATTTTTTGCCTCTCTGTTGGACGTTCTAGAGTTAACAAACCTGTTCAAATTCCCGACTCATTGTACCGTCTAGTTAGAACGATGGCGTTTAAAGCAGCAGAAGGTAAATTAACCGAGCGGACTCGGTATCGGTCCAGCAAGTAACCAGCGCGGAAATATAACGTTGCAAGCGGAATACGTGACTCACGATTTGCACATACCCGGCGATTTGTGCACCAACACAAAACGTAAAAGCCAAACGACTGGTGTATCGAGCACAGAATACCCGGCATAGTTGTCGTGGTCAGATTTACAGCGTATTTTCTGCGATTATGGGAGATGCACGGTATGCCCGCCCTTGAACAATCCCTATGTTCACCGATTTATTCCTCCCCTTTCCTCTCTGTTCGTTCATTTTTTTTTTCTCGTTCGAACCGGATGAGATTCACTACACGCCACCACGAATCCGCCACGAAAGCCTGCCCTATTTGCATACGTTTACAAAGGGCGCGATGGTCCCGTTTGTCATTCGGTATCGCGAATTCTGTGCACCGTGGCCGATTTCCCTGCTGTATCCGATACTAACCGCGTTTTGAAAAATCTAGCTAAGTCAGGATTCACTTGAAACAAGTTTTACATGTAACGATTTTAAAAAGAGGAAGTGTTTTGTCCTCAGTTTGTTAGATTTTGGATACATTGATAGGGATACTTTGTAGATTTTTAGATTTTTAGTGAAACTTGTTTTTAATATTGATTGTTTCCAATGGCTGATCATATCGACTCGATTATACACTTAACAGTGAGGTGACCTAAAAATATACGTAGATGAATTTTTGAAAATTTAATCTTACTTCTATTATATATCAAGATTTATTGATTTGGAATATTTTCACGGAATCCTTTTATTCATCAAGCTGCACTCGCAAATAGTAATTCAGCTGAATATTATGCGATAAACGACAGTACCAACGTTCATATTTTATTCATTTAATAAACCTTCATGAGTGTACAGATATCACTCGAATTCGAGTGGTATCAAATTAATTTATTTGCCGGTTATTACTTCCGAAATAATGATAATTTAAATAAATGAACGAAATGGAGACCGTAGAATTTAATATTCGTTACGCTCAGTATCTCGTTCAATCAACACTCGGATTTATAATTTATCCTCTTTACTTCTCTCTGTTTTTCGAGTAGAACGTGGCACGATCGAAATCCTCGGAAACTTTGAAATATTCCATGTAATATTACCATGTCAATTTATTTTCTAATTAATGCTTTCGTGTTCAGACTCTCGTCATTATATTTCATTTGAATTTAATTTAACAATTTTGCTACCCTTTACTTTCTGTAATACTTGATATCTTTCGATAGTCCACAATTTCGAAAGGCTTTACCTTGCAATAAAAGTCGGAAAGCCTGAAAAAGAAAAACGAGGTCACTCGAGAGTTTCATTTCATTGCCAAACAAGCCAGGAACCACGAAGAGATTGATGCATGGTATTAGGGATCAATGGGTTAGTAAACAAGCCAACGTCGATTTACCGACGATACTAACCATCTCGTTCCGAGTGCTTCGTTCGTTTAAGACGGTAAAGGGAAATCTGGAAATGAGCTTGCGCCCAGTTTTCCCGTAAAACGGATGGAAAGATCGCGGACCGTGAAGGCGAGGGCGAAGGGTGGAGTACGGTGAAAGTTACTCGCCGGAAAATATACAGGGGCGCTTTTAGGAAGTTCGGATTATCGAGCAAGCGGCTTCGAAACGCGAGTTACAGCCGAGGCTGATCCTCGTGAAAACTCAGCCGCGAAGTTGCCTCTCGGCCTCGAATCAGCCATTGGGGGAGGCTGTCGTTTTCCAAGTAAAAGGTTGGTCTATAGAAAAGCTATACCAGGGGTTAAACGCGTCTTTGAATTTTTAAATTTTACACTATACTTAAATTTAATTTAGATAAATAATTCTAATTTGATTAGGTTTTAATTAAAATATAGAACATTTTAGTGCAAATATTTTTTATTAATTTGTTGATATTAATTGCAAGAAGGTATTATTTTTAATCGAACGGTCTTCCCTTTTAAACTTCCGGGTCAGGAAACGAGGAATCAAGAAAAATCGGTGGTCGTTATCGGCGTTATCAGCAGTCCGGTAATGGAGGAAATGAAGTCCTCGTGAAAATATGACTAAAAATAATAGTAACACGAAGATAGAACGTATGACCGTGGTATTTTATGAGATTTCATGACCGCAATAATGGTGTCTATAGAACTTCCCTGATGGTTTCAATTTATAGGTAACGTGGCTGATATTTCAAAGGAACAGATTGCAATCTAACATTCGAATGGAAACCAAAGTGAAAATTGTAAACCGGAATATTCTGTCGTTCCATGATTTCGAAATTAATTACTCTAGTTGATTCGAATCTATTTCGAGTTGACATGAAAGAGTCGGAGTTCGATTAAGATGTATAATATAGCATATTCCATTCAATATTCAGAAGTTTTTAAAAGTGAATATTTAAATTTTAATAATGTTTGCTGTAATCGATTCTTTTTATTAATTTATCAACTACCTTTCTATTGCTCTTTGTATCTTTAAAATTTAAATTATAATACAATCCCTTTTACGATGGAATTCTAAATATTTCGTTAGGACGTTGAATCATTAGCTAGGTGGCGATCACGGCTAATAAAATGGCTCTGTTTCAGGCGTACGTTGATTTGGTAAAAGCCTGGGGCTGGAAGAGTTTCACCATCATCTATGAGAACAACGAAGGCTTGGTACGATTGCAAGAGCTCCTGAAGGCACACGGACCCAGTGAATTTCCTATTACGGTCAGACAACTCAACGAGGGCTCGGAATATCGGTGAGTCTTCTCTGCTTTTACAACTCAAAGAGAACGAATTTCTAGGAAAAACGAGCTCATCGAACACGTAGACTAATTTATTCGAATAACATTTCGTATGGTAAATCTTTCCACAATCTTAAATCTTTATTTAGCTTTTAAATTTAATGAAACCTACGATTTTATCACATATAATATTATATCAACTTTTAATTATAAAGACGTTATGTTATATAAAATTTGCATTTACATTGTTGTTTAGTATTTTTAAGCAAAATATATTTGCTTAAGTAGTTGATATAATATTGATTCTAGCTTTCGACTTCCATTTACAAATAGCCTATTTCAAATGTTCTCATTTCAAGTTGCATAAAATCGAAATAGTATCTCGTTAATTTTAACTCGCCATTAACTTCAGAAACCCTTAGGAATTTTCCTTCACCACAAAGTTTATTAATTAAAGACTGCTTCTTTGAGGTTGATCCGCTTAAATTATTCAGCTACCTTATTCAAGCAGAAGACACAATTTCACTACAGAATAAGGGTTAAGTTGTTCGTTGATAGGCTGGTTTAGTGTGCAACGATTAGGGAACCGCGAATTCTAAGGCCATTTAAAGGCAAAGGGATTTCACTGGTGAAGGATAAGCGTTTGCTTAATCTGTTTGCGGATCGCGTTAATAAAGTTTCCTGTCGTCGACGCCTGTTTGTTTTCGCGAGGCGTATCAGCGTCTCGGTTCTTTACGTCGCGAAGCGAGTCCATTATCGCCGATTACTTTGGCCATTTTAAACCGAGCCAACCGTGATGAACGAGAACGATTTGAACGGTGTTCCCAGGGTTAATCGAATTACCGGTCGATTTCGATTGCTCGCTATTTCGTTCCGTCGACGCGTGCGCGTCCATCGCAATTCCGCCTCGTCGTTTCAACGAAATGTTCGTACTTGAGAGATCCGTGATTCTCTTCGAGATTTAGCGATGGCTTTTCTTATCTTTCCTCTTCCTTGAAAAGTCGTGAGTTTTCTCAGATTAATGAATTCGAAGATTTTGAATTTGATAAGAAAAATAGAGATATGATATTGGAAGTATCGAATTTAGAAAATTATTTTTCGTAGGAAGATCATTAAGTGCTTAGCATGAAAATTTCAAATGGATTTGGCAGACATATTCAATTCAACATCTGCATGCGTGCTCCATTTAGAAATTTATTATTCAACAGAGTGTTATCATATGCAGTATCTAAATCTGGCTCGAAGGGAGGATTAGGAGCCGCAATCTGTTATGCTACGCTCATAAAGTAACCATGCTATGATAGTATCTTCAGACTTGTAATCCTAATTGTAGAGCCTGATTTTCCGGTGTTTCCCTATAGATTCTAAAATCTCCTTTCTTTCACATAAAACAAACATTTCGCAGAAAATCTATATTTCTACATTGAGATAAGAAAATGTTGGCATGAGATAGTTAATTACTTTGATCCCTGAACGTTTCATGTTTTAATCCTCAAACGAAGGAGTATAAGTCAGTCATAAGTCAGACGTTTGAAACATACAATCGTTAGATCGAAACAATGCATACAAATTTTTTAACAAAAGATTGTTATATACTGAAAAGTAATATTTAACGGTAAAATTCCAAGTATACAAAAACGTAACGAGCGTGTATCGCAGTGAAAATTCAGCGAACCGAATGATCGATATTGTCGTTGAATCAACGATGGTCGATGACGTTCCCCAGACAGAGAATACACCATTACGAATTAAACCGCACGCTGATGCAAACAGCGATGATCTTCTTATGCAGCGATGGTGTGGGTGACGTATCGATCGCGTGGAAAGTGTGTCAACTGTGCTTCACACGGCGAATGGAGCGAATCTTCATCTCTCTTTTCGCTTCTGCCACCGATACGAGCTTGCTCGTCTCTTAAGAGTACACAGAGCTGTGTCTGCGGTCGTGGTCTTCTTGTGTGTCGGCCTTTCTCGTTTCTCTTGTCCGTATCCACGGGAAAAAGAAGTCTCGCTGGCTCGTTGCATTATTCATAAACTGCTTGGTAACCGCGATGCTGACTTATTGCCGCTACCAGGAGCCACGAAAGCCGGAACGATAGGGATTTGAATAAATTCAGTTAGATTTTCGGCCACACCGACGTATCCGTTCTCCCTTCAAATTCATCGTACCTTGTATGTATGATTCTTTCTGTCCTCGCTAATATCGCATGCATTCTGAGGAAATTGTTTGTGCTCGCCTATGCTCCTTTCGTATTCCGACGTCGGATGCTCCTTGTGTTGACCTTTTCAATTGATGCTGGAATCTCTGGAGATCCTCCGAGATTTTCTTTTGTAAATACATGGAAGGATTTGATGTTTGAGATATGTCTGTTTATTCAATTTTCTAATATCACTCGCTTGGTGATTCAATTGCCACTGTGAAGACGGTCGTGTGTAGTCAGACATATTGAAATACCAATTATTAAGGATACGATTGATTCATTTTCAAATTTAAATTTTCAGTTTAGTAGCTTACTTTATTCATTTTTATTTCAAAAATTTTCATTAGAAATTAGTTGCTCGTTCCGCCGGTAAAAGAAACCGAGCGATAGTCATTCTTTTCAACAAACAAAAGTAGACAAAGACCCAGGTGAGGGTGAATTGGATGAAACCTTGTTCCCCGGGGTACCACACTGCCACGTTAGTTTACAGTGACGTGAAAGCTTGAATTGGTGGTCGTCGTTCGCGGGGGAAAATACCGTAGCTCACGTGGAAACGGTAGTTCTGGGAACGTTTGCGGTTTCAAGGTGAATAGACTATCGAAAGTGCTCGAGCGGCGTGGTATACAGGGAGCAATTGGTATCGTCGAATCGGCACTATCGTCAATCAAATCAAAGCACCCTGCCCAAATCGAAACGGTACATGGATATTTTAGGTGCCTGCCTGTACGGTTGAGCAAAACGCTAGCACTGCACGAGCAAATCTGTCGTCAGACTTGATCCTCGAAAATGGCTCCTAAGAGAGTCGCTAGAAACAGTTTCTCTGGGTTGTCGATCTCCTTCCCTGGAATGACTCATTCGTGGCTGAGGGTGCAGCTAAGTGTTGCGAAATCAAGGGTACTTTGGCCTAATTTTCAGCGAGTAGTATACTATTACGAGCTGTAAACACTTGCTTTAGTTTCTGCAAAGTGCCTGAATGAATGGGTTACTCGAACGGCATGGTGAAGTAAATGAAACTTGAAATTCCCAATTTCTATCGACAATAACGAGAAGAACTCTTTCTTCATCTACTTTGAGAATTACATGAAACAGAAAGAAAATCCCTGCAGCTCATTCGAGGCACTTCTAATCATCCTCTTCCCGCGAATGACCCTAAGCTCGTTTAATATTCAGCCATGATCCAACGGCAAAGAAACGCGTTCCGTGTGGCCGGAGTGCTTTCCCAGCGATTTTTCAATAATTCACCGGAGCAGCGGGGAAAACGAAAACAAAATCAACGTTGAATTTCACGGTACAGCGGTCCGTAAAAGGGGTAGAGAAGATGTTGGCCGTTAATGGAGAGAAACGGAAGGAAGGAAGGAAGACGTCGGGAACGGTATAAGTAATTGAAATGTTTCGAAGCCGAAGAGGAACCGTTCGATTCTGCTCGTTCGAGCCGGGTAGATGCGGTAAGCATGATAAGAAGCGAGGAAGCAAAGACATCAAACGTATAAACCGAGCAACTTCGAGCAGCCGAACTTCGAGACGAGTAAAATGGCCACTGCTGGTTACCGAACGGGGGTCTTGCTTGGTCCACCGCAGATGTTGCATCACGTTCGTGAAACGGTGGTCTGATTGATCAAAGGGAACACTCTGAATGAGTAGCCTTTCCTTTTCTTTCCTTTTTTTTTTTTTCTTCCTTCGATTCGCTTCGGTCCCGTTTTCCGACGTCAATTACGCTCATCACCGGATCGAAATGAAGGCACTCGGTGAAGTTTTTTCTTTGAGAAACCCGAGTCGTTGGCTTTCGTCGCAAAGGTATCGGTAAATTGGATTTACCATCGGTGTGTTTTGTTCGTGTTTTATTGCACGTTACGTTTGCGTGAAAATTGTGGACGGAGTTTGGAAATATTTGGGACGCCCAGGTGTCGAAGTAGCTTTTGGTTAATTAGAAGTTCACGAGTAGTTAATTCATTTAATATTGCACGATTTATTATTGCATGATTTACCTCGTATAAATATTTTATCTATCACGAAAACAAATTTTATTCTTCTGTCAGATTCAAAACAAATTTATTGACGAATATATCCATAGAAGAGCTCGTCTTTTTCCCATAAAATAAAAGAGTATCTATGTTTACCAAGGGAAATAAGTATAAATAAAACGTAATCTCTACTATTGTATTTATTGGTGTTGTAACGTGAAACAGATACAAGATTAGTGAGGGAAAAAGACATTTGTCGTAAAAATTCTGACTGATAGGAGATGTCGACACTTGAGAGCGTAGATTTCGATTGCAACGTCGAACAGGCGGTATCTCGAAGTCGCAAATGACGGTTGTTCGAGGTACTTTACTATCGCGGCAGGTTCCTCGGTAATTCCTCCCAAAGGTAATAAAAATGGCATCGAAGAAAGCAAAAGTATTTATGCTCGTGTGCGAACGTGTATATCCGTGAATCTCGGGTGCGCGTTGAAATTCTCCAGGCACCGAGAGTCGCTTGAAACTTGAACGTTTCTAGTTTCTTCGAAACTTCGGCAATATGTCTTTTTATCAAGCTTCGGAGAAAGTATCGAGAAGGAAGACTTACTAATATCGCGGCTTATCGGCAGCAAAGTTAGACGAAAGACGAAATAAAAGTCCGATAAAAGGGTCAAGATTAACCTTTAAACTGCTTTCAAGAAAATTCACTTACTTTTCAAAGAAATCACAATTATTTTATTATTGGCATATTCTATTTTTCTGTAGATATCTGAATTCCTTATTCAAACATTAAATCGAGGGTAACAATTCGGTTGATTAATGTTTCGTTTCCTTGTTCCCTCGGTATCGGAATTTTAGG